GTAGCCAGGAACAGACGTGCACACCGGGGCACCTCGTACAGAATGGGGCAGGCACGTGTCTCTGCCGTTCTGAGGCTGCTGCCTGGGCTCCTGGGTGCCGGCAGCCCTGGGGAAACCACACGGACCCTGACCCGGGGTGGGGGCTCCATGGAGCCAGGAAGATGCTGTGTGTATGTGTGTGTGTGTGTCTGTGTGTGTGTATATACACACAGACACACACACACAGACACACACACACTTTTTTTGAGACAGAGTCTCCCTCTGTTGCCCAGGCTGGAGTGCAATGGTGCTATCTCGGCTCACTGCAACCTCCACCTCCCGGGTTCAAGCCATTCTCCCACCTCAGCCTCCTGAGTAGCTGGGACTACAGGCACCTGCCACCACGTCCAGCTGATTTTTGTATTTTTAGTAGAGACGGGGTTTCACTGTGTTAGCCGGATGGTCTCGATCTCCTGACCTCGTGATCCGCCCATCTCGGCCTCCCAAAGTGCTGGGAAGACAGGCGTGAGCCACCGCGCCCGGCTGGCGCTGCACACATTTCCAAACCCGTCACGGGAAGTAGTTCTCACCAGGGTCCCCCCCCGCACCGCGAGAGAGCAGGGAGCCCCGTTCAGCAGCTTCGCCTGCTACAGGGATCATCGCGGCACCCACACCCGGGGCGCGGCAGACGGAGATCCCCCTGCCCCGGGACAGACGTGGGGACGTCCTTCCCCCTCCTCACCCCACGAGGACACAGCATGTCCCCGAAGATATTCTTGATGCAGGCGACCAGGTACTCGTGCAGGTCCTCGCTCAGCCCCTCGAAGTTCCTGCAGGCCAGGATGACCACCTCACGCGGGTGCCGCTCCAGCCACTCCGAGATTTCCGTGAGCGTGTCCTGGGGAGGGCGGGGGGCCGGACTGAGTCCTGCATGACTCCAACAACCCGGGGAAGGCCGGGCGCGGTGGCTCACACCTGTCATCCCGGCACTTTGGGAAGCTGAGGCGGGAAAATCACTTGAGGTCAGGAGTTCGAGACCAGCCTGGCCAACACGGTGAAACCCCATCTCGACTAAAAATAGAAAAATTAGCCGGGCACAGTGGCACACGCCTGTCATTCCAGCTACTCGGGAGGCTGAGGTAGGAGAGTCGCTTGAACCCGGGAGGCGGAGGCTGCAGTGAGCCGAGATCGCGGCCACTGTATTCCAGCCTGGGCGACAGAGCAAGACTCCATCTCAAAAAAAATAAAAGCAACAAAGAAATCCCCGTCACAGACTCCCAGGGGTGAGCGTCTCCTGTCTGGGTCTGCAGGTGACGTCCCCATCCCATTAAAGGCCGAGCACCTCCTGTCCAGATCTGCATGTGGCCGTTTCGTCCCCACGGGAGCTTGGCCACCTCCGGCCCTCCCCGTTGCGTCCCCCTCAGCCCGGCCGCACCTCCACCAGGGCCGTCGTGTACACCATGTGGACGAAGTGCAGGTTCTTCTCCGAGCCCTCCAGCATGTGAGCGATCCGCAGGTCCAGGTACCGCACCCCGGCGTCCAGCTGCTCCGTGACGTCCAGCGCCTGTGGACAGAGGCTGCCGTCAGGTCGGCCTGGCCGAGCGCCGCGTCTGGGGGCTCAGGAACGGGCTGCGGGGTTGTCCATCCACACGTCCTGCTGTCCAGGGGGACGTGGACGTTGAAACAACAGCCGTTTGTTGGTGCTGGGAGCTCTGCAGCCACGGGGACCTGCATTGGGAAAACCTGATCTCCGGGGACCTGGCCTCTTTCAGCAGAGCCTGCGAGACTCTGTCCTGGGGAAGGGCACCTGCCCCCGCCCTGACACGGGTCTCACCCACGTCCCTGCAGGTCCCCAGTCACCCTCTTTCCGGCTGTCACCAGAAGGGGCCACAGTTGGGGCAGAATGTGCTACAGTCGGTCCTCAGTGCCCAGGACAGTCTCCAGGAAGCATCACTAGCGTGGGGTACACCAGGAGGCGCCGAGATAGCGCAGGGTGGCCAGACAGCAGGGGGCTTGGGGGATGAGGCGGGTGGGAAACGGTTCCCGGAAAAACTGAGGACGGAGAGAAATACAGGAAAAGGAACCAGCACTTCCCCTCCCTCCACAGAAAACAGCACTAGGACACGCAAAATTGTTTTTTCTTTTTGAGACGGAGTCTCGCTCTGTCGCCCAGGCTGGAGTGCAGTGGCGCGATCTCAGCTCACTGCAAGCTCCGCCTCCCGGGTTCCCGCCATTCTCCTGCCTCAGCCTCCGGAGTAGCTGGGATTACAGGCACCCGCCACCACACCCGGCTAATTTTGTATTTGTAGTAGAGACGGGGTTTCTCCATGTTGGTCAGGCTGGTCTCGAACTCCCCACCTCAGGTGATTCTCCTGCCTCGGCCTCCCAAAGTGCTGGGATTAGAGGCATGAGCCACCGCGCCCGGCCTCTACTGAAATTTTTAAAAACCAGCCTGGTGTGGTGCTGCCTGGGAGGCTGAGGAAGGAGGATCCGTTGATCCCAAGAGGCAGGAGAATCGCTTGAACCCGGGAGGCGGAACTTGCAGTGAGCCGAGATCGCACCACCGCGTTCCAGCCTGGGCGACAGAGGGAGACTCTGTCTCAAAAAATAAAAAATAAAATAAGCAAATAAAAACAGTGTTCCTCTCTCCTCTGCCTTTGGGAAGGGGGCTCCGGGTGGGCAGCAGGTTTTGGTTTTCATCCTGTCTCCCCGGCTGGGATAGGGGCTGCGTTTTGCTGCAAAGTCACAGTCACCATCTGCCTCCTGAGCCCACAGGGCATCACTCAGACCCTACCTGGGTGAGACCACGTCAGCACCGCGGGGCACGGACCCTACCTGGGTGACGGACCACGTCAGCACCGCGGGGCACGGACCCTACCTGGGTGACGGACCACGTCAGCACCGCGGGGCGCGGACCCTACCTGGGTGACAGACAATGTCAGCACCGCGGGGCACAGACCCTACCTGGGTGACAGACAATGTCAGCACCGCGGGGCACGGACCCTACCTGGGTGACGGACCATTTCAGCACCGCGGGACACAGACCCTACCTGGGTGACAGACAATGTCAGCACCGCGGGACACAGACCCTACCTGGGTGACGGACCATTTCAGCACCGCGGGGCACGGACCCTACCTGAGTGACGGACAATGTCAGCACCGCGGGACTCAGACCCTACCTGGGTGACGGACCATTTCAGCACCGCGGGGACACAGACCCTACCTGGGGGACGGACCACGTCAGCACCGTGGGACTCAGACCCTACCTGGGTGACGGACCATTTCAGCACCACGGGGCGCGTGATGCAGGGGAACACCTTGTTCAGCAGCTGCAGCAGCCGGGACTCCTCGTGCGAAATGGGGGACTTCTTGTTCAGGCAGTAGGTCATGGTGTCGTGGCTCCCTGAGAGCAAAGCACACGCGGACATGTCACCGTCGGGCCCGTCCCTGCCACCTGCTGTGAGATGCTCGGCCGCCCGCCCACAGCACGGGCACAGGCATGGCGGGAGGGGTGGACGCCGTCCCCCGAAACTCACGTCCCCCAAAACTCACATCCCCTGGAACCTGGGAACGGGACCTGTGTGGAAACCGGGTCTCTGCAGATATCATGAGGTTGAAATGAGATCATCTTGGAGTAGGGCAGGCCCCAAATCCAGTGACAGGTGTCCATGTAAGAGACAGAGGAGGAGACACAGACACAGAGGAGGAGGCCACGTGGAGACGGAGGCAGAGACTGGAGTGATGCGGCCACAAGCCCAGGGACGCCTGGAGCCCCCAAGAGCTGGGAGAGGCAGGAAGGATCCCCCCCTCTAGAGCCTCATGAAGGAACTGAACACAATTTAAATGACTTGAGTGGTGATCACCAAAAGAGCTGTTCAAGTCCTAACCCCCCCAAAACCAGTTTGGAAACAGGGTCTTTACACATGCAATTGAGTGAAGGCTCCCAACACGAAATCATCTTGGCTTTGTGGTGGGCCCTAAATGCAACGACAGGTGTCCTTAGGAGACACAGACCCAGAGGAGGAGGCCACGTGGAGACGGAGGCAGAGACTGGAGTGATGCGGCCACAAGCCCAGGGACGCCTGGAGCCCCCAGGAGCTGGGAGAGGCAGGAAGGAGCCTCCCCTCGAGCCTCAGGAGGAAGTGTGGTCCTGCCCATGTCTTGTTTCAGATTTCTGTACCTAGAACTGGGAGAAAGTAAATTTCTGTTGTTTGCCACCTCCTAACGTGTGGTCACTTGTCATGGGAGCTGCAAGAAACACAGACCTTTGTGGGGTCTGATTGATGGCTGACGTTTGCATTTGCTGCCTGTGACACGTAGTTGTTGTTTCTTAAGATACGTATATTTAAATATATACAAATACATTTATGAATATAACATTTAAATATCAATAATGTAAATATGTGTGTATATACACATATATATTTGTATATACAGAACTCTGAAATATATGTATATATGTATATACACATACATGTATATATACACACGCACATACACACATACATATATACATACACATGTACACATATGCACATACACGTATATGTATGCATATACACGTATACATGTATACACACACATATACACATATATACATACATACACACATATACACACACATACACGTATATATACATACACGTATAGATACACATATACACATATAGCTGTACATACATATACACAGATATACATATATATACTAATATACACATATATACACATATACACGTACCTACATGTGTACATACGTCTGTATATGTGCATGTGCATATATGTGTCTGCATAAGTACAAATGTGCATACATCGTGCATGTGTATGTGCCTGTATCTACATGTGTCCATGTGTAGGTATATGTGTACATGCACACATTGTGCATGTGCATAGGGGCAAGCATCTATACATACGTGTATGCATATGTGTCTATGTGCATGTATGTACATGTTTATGGACGTATATGCATGTATGTGTATGGATACCTGTGTGTGCATATGTGCAACATTACATATGGATATACACGTGTGTGCATGTGTAGGTGCATCTGTGCATGTGTGTGTTCACAAATATGCATACATGTGTATGTTTCCATGTGCGTGTGTGTGGGTGTGTACATGTGCGGATGCATGTATGTGCATGTATGTATGTGTATGCGGGTGTGTGTGTGCATGCATGTGTGCCTATGTGTCTATGTGCATCTGTGTATGTGATATGGTTTGGCGGTGTCCACACCCAAATCTCATCTTGAACTGTAGCTCCCACAATTCCCAGGTGTCATGGGAGGGACCTGGTGGGATGTCACTGAATCTTGGGGCGGGTCTTTCCCATGCTGTTCTCATGACAGGAAGTCTCCTGAGATCTGATGGTTTCAGAAAGGGGAGCTCCGCGGCACACGCTCTCTTGTCTGCCACCAGGTAACCCGTGACTCTGCTCCTCATCCACCTTCTGCCGTGACTGTGAGGCCTCCCCAGCCAGATGGAACGGTGAGTCCATTAAACCTGTTTCTTTTATAAATTACCCAGTCCAGACATGTCTTTATTCGCAGGGTGAGAACAGACCAACACAGTGTGCACGTGTGTGTGTGTCTGTGTATATGTGTGCATATGTGTGTATGTGTGTATGTGTGCCTGTGTGTATGTGTGCATATGTGTGTATGTGTGAATGTGTGTATGTGTGCATATGTGTGTATGTGTGTATGTGTGAATGTGTATATGTGTGCATGTGTATGTGTGAATGTGTGTATGTGTGAATGTGTGTATGTGTGCATATGTGTGTATGTATGTGTGCCTGTGTGTATGTGTGAATGTGTGTATGTGTGCCTACGTGTGTATGTGTGCATATGCACACGTGTGCATGTGTGTGTGCATATATGCCTGTGCATACGTGTGTACATGTGTGCATGCCTGTGTCCATGTCTGCGCATGTCCATGCCTATGTACATATGTGTGCACACTGTGCATGTGTGTGTCCACGTCCGTGTGATTTGCAGGATTTCTCCACACCCAGGATTGCTCCTACAGCCAGCATCTCCACTGGGGAATGCAGAGCAACAGCCCCCACCCCACCCCACCCCACCCTCACCTGGGATGGAGAGGTGGTGGAGGGGCACATCCCAGAGCTGGGGACACAGTGCCGACATCCAGTCCTCGTTCGCATTTCTGCAGCGCAGGTTGGAGAAGCTGCTGGAAGTGCTCACCTGCCCGCCCATCGGAGGTGAACCCTGGGCAACCTGAGGAAGGAGAAGAGGAGAGAGAGATTTTTTATGGTTAAAGTTGTGCTGCTTACACAGGGGTCATGGCTTCCCCTGGGAGGGGCTGGGGTGGTGGAGAGTGTGGGGTGGAGATCAGACATCCTGAGAAAGGGGAGAGAGGGGCCGGGCGCGGTGGCTCACGCCTGTCATCCCAGCACTTTGGGAGGCCGAGGCGGGCGGATCGCGAGCTCAGGAGTTCAAGACCATCCTGGCCAACATGGTGAAACCCCCTCTCTACTAAAGATAGAAAAATTAGTCAGGCGTAGTGGCGGGCACCTGTAGTCCCAGTTACTCGGGAGGCTGAGGCACCTCGTGATCCACCTGCCTCGGCCTCCCAAAGTGCTGGGATGACAGGCGTGAGCCACCGTGCCCGGCCTTCTCCCTTCCTTCTTTGTTGCCTAATAAACTCTCCGTTCCTTAAAACCACTCCACGTGCGTCCACGCCATGTTATCTAAACTGGCGCGAGACCAAGGACCTGGGTGTCCCTGCAGTCACTGGAGCCGGAGCAGTTTGGTGCATTGGCCGGGAATTCATTCATGAGAGCGGTGAGGAGGGGACGAATCTCACCCTCACATCTGCCCTTTAATCTCAGGGTTGTCTTCCAGCTATCCTACCGCAAAGCTTTCCTTCTTCCCTTCCTTCTCTATCCGCGGTCTCTCACTCTCTGTCGAATGCATGGGAATTTTTACAGCCTAGGGAAGGAATCCTGTTGGGCCACACCAGGAAATGCTGTCGACCAGGGATACAGCTCAGTCTTCCAGGAATACGGTTCTCTCCTTTCCCCCTAAATAAAGTTACTTGGTACTAATTCTCTAGCAGATACATGGTATTTCCTTTTTTTTCTTTTTTTTCAGACGTTGTTTCGCTCTTCTTGCCCAGGCTGGAGTGCAGTGGTGCAATCTCGGCTCACCGCAACCTCCGCCTCCCGGGTTCAAGCGATTCTCCTGCCTCAGACTCTCGAGTAGCTGGGATGACAGGCACCTGCCACCACGCCTGGCTAATTTTTGTATTTTTAGTAGAGACGGGGTTTCTCCATGTTGGTCAGGCTGGTCTTGAACTCCCGACCTCAGGTGATCTGCCCGCCTCAACCTCCCAAAGTGCTGGGATGACAGGCGTGAGCCACCGCGCCTGGCCGGTGCACGGTATTTCTAAGGCAACAGCGCCCCCTAGTGGGAACAGAAATCCTCTTCGTGGCCGGGCAGCACTTTGGGAGGCCGAGGCGGGTGGATCACGAGGTCACGAGGTCACGAGTTCGAGACCAGCCTCACCGACATGGTGAAATCCCCACCTCTAGTAAAAATACAAAAATTAGCCAGGTGTGGTGTCACACGCCTGTAATCCCAGCTATTCAGGAGGCAGAGGCAGGAGAATCGCTTAAACCCAGGACGTGGAGGTGACAGTGAGCCGAGATCGTGCCACTGCACTCCAGCCTACTGACAGAGCAAGACTCCGTCTCAAAACAATAAATAACAATAATAATAATAGGCACCAGGAGGAGGCCCAAAAAGAGAAACCTCAGGAGAAGGACAATGCCTCTAGCAACAGCTCTGCAGGCTTGCAAACTCCAAGATCTCCCCAGGTACATCCCGTAGTTGCTAAAAGTGTGACAGGCCAGGACATTTTAAAAAAAGGAATGGCCGGGCGCAGTGGCTCAAGCCTGTAATCCCAGCACTTTGGGAGGCCGAGACGTGCAGATCACGAGGTCAAGAGATCAAGACCATCCTGGCTAACACGGTGAAACCCCGTCTCTACTAAAAACTACAAAAAAACTAGCCGGGCCTGGTGGCGGCGCCTGTAGTCCCAGCTACTCGGGAGGCTGAGGCAGGAGAATGGCGGGAACCCGGGAGGCGGAGCTTGCAGTGAGCTGAGATTGCGCTACTGCACTCCAGCCTGGGCGACAGAGTGAGACTCCGCCTCAAAAAAAAAAAAAAAAAAGGAATGGCCGGGCAGCAAGACAGAGTCACCTCGCTCCCGCCCAGCCTGTGGTGAAAAGCAGTGGGGACAGAACTGCTCCCAGAGTTGGACGTCAGTGGGTGCAAACCCCCTGCTCCAGTGGCTCCAAATGCCATCACAGCACACGGCCCCGGGCGATTCCGGAAATGGAAGAAAGGAAAGCAGACCTCCTTCTAAACACTAGAGCCGGCCTCTCTCCTTTCTCCTCCCTCGTCCAGGCCTCCCCACTTCCTATAAGGGGCATCTCAGGAAAAACTCCAATCCAATCTTTTTCTCAACTTCAGTTGTAGTTAGGAGGACCTATTTACATACGTTTCCAAGCCACTGTCATGCCAGCTCTACTGTCATGAAAAGCCTCCAAGTTAAGCCTAGGAAATAACTGTTTCCACTGCACACAATGTGCCAGGACGACTGCCCTCTAGGGACAGCTCTCAGCCAGCAAACAGCCAGTAAAGCAAGATAAGCAAAGTCACTCTCCGGAGACTCAAGAGCTCAATTAGCTGACAGCTCTTATAAAAGCACTTAAATTACGCCAGGGAAACGTAGCTAACATAGATGCTGATTCCTTGGACGCTTTCCTGGTTATCCATGCTCATGCTGCCATTCAGAAGGAAAAGCATCTTCTTACCACGAATGGATCTCCTATAAAATATCACCAGGAAGGTAGGGCATGGTGGCTCACGCCTGTCATCCCAGCACTTTGGGAGGC